TTGCGATTCTCTCGTTGCGATTTTCATTTCGCATTGCGATAGTCATTTCCGCGTTGCGATTTTCACGTTGCGATTTTCATTTCGCATTGCGATTCTCTCGTTGCGATAGTAATTTCCGCATTGCGATAGACATTAAGATGATTGCGAACGTCATTTCCGTGTTGCGATAGTCAAATGAATGCCTAATAAGTGATAACAACTGAACAGATCATAGCAATTTTCAAACTCAAGTTACTAATACATGCCTAACTGAAAATGTTAAAAGTTCACATATAAAATCCACATAATACAACGTTTGCATTTAAAAATTACCTAAGTTAACAGTCCCAAAAGGTGAAGCCGGTTGTGATTGGGATTTTAAAGATGATTGCGATTTTGATTGCCTTTTGCTTGACACCATATGAGCTTTGGATTTTTATGAGGATCCATATTTTGGTAGAGGAAAAGATGATTGTGATGGCACTGGTGATCCACATGTCAACCTTGTATGACCACTTTCCTTGCACCGACTACATGTCGATCTCTTCTTCTCTTCACCCTTAGACGGTATAAGATCGTGACATTTTGGTCGGTCAGGTAGCCTTCTGTCCATGGCTGGTAGCAATCCATAGCGTATGCGCTTGAATCATCTTGGTTTAGATGAAGAGAAACTTTTATAACATGGCCACATGGATAACCAGATGTTTTCCATTTCATACAACTACACGTCTTTGCATTTAGATCGACAAGCCCATTTAAGTTATTATACAGTACTTCAAACAAAGTGTTTGAACATGGTTCAACTCTCCATGACATTGACTTCACAACACGTTTCGTTATCTTTTTTTCTGTCCATGGTGTAACACGATGTTCCAAAGTTCCTGTAAATTTAAATTAAAAATACTTAGTAAAATATATGATAACTTACGAATTTAAAGAAATAATACTTGCATGGTTTCTTTTCTTGTAGTACCATTGTTGAATAGAGGCTCGAAAAAACTCCATTAACATAATAATGGGTAATTTTCGGGAATGACGACTTAGAGCGTTGATTGATTCTGCACTATTAGACGTCATGAAACCATATCTTGCTCCAAGTTGATGTACTCTTGACCATCTTTCAAACCCGACATCTTCTAGTGTTTGAGCACACTGAGGCAAAACACGTCTTAAACAGTTTATATGCTTATTAAAATCCACTTCCCGATAAGCTTTTACAGCCTTCCAGTATGTCCATTTGTATTTTTTATACCAACAGACCTTGATTTTAGATTTCTATACAAATGAACACCACAAAGTCCATGAAAAACATCTGAGAAACACCTTCTAACAGCGTTGTCAATTGAGTTTGCCCTATCGGATATGATTATCAGATTGCTAATAGGACCTATGCAATCCCTAAGATGCCCCATAAACCATGTCCATGAATAAGAGGTTTCAGATTTGCCAACCCCGTAAGCTATTGGCAGTATCCCATTGTTAGCATCTATGGCTACTGCTAATAAGTTTACTCCAAGGTATCGACCTTTTAAATGTGCTTCGTCAACTATAATAACTGGGCGCATGCAATTAATAAACGAACGAATCTACAAAATCATATACACAAGAAATATAATCATTTAAATGTGAAATGCATGTAACTAACAAAAATGAGTCAACAAAATTATATTGATTTACTAACCGCAACACCAATGGCGATAAACAGCAACTCAAAGCGTCCATCTCTATCTGTTTTGATATGAGTTACCGACCCAGGATTTATCAGCTTTAAATTGTGACAATAAGCCGGCAGTTGGGCAAACGATGCTTCTGGCGACCCCCTCAACAATTCCAAGGCATAACATTTGGCTCTCCAAGCTTGAGAATATGAGATACTAATCTTGAACCGAGCATTCATGTCAGTCATAATTTCATGTCCCCGATATACCCTACCATTCAAAAACATTAACTCAGCCAGAAAACCACCCAACACCTTTTTGTTTGCCTGCTATGGTGAGGAAAAACTTGGGTTCTTGAACATGTATGTTTATCAATAAAAGTCCTAACTTGAAACATTTCGCAATCTTTTATCCTCTTTGCAATCATACGCCACATACAGTTTTTGTCAATCATACACCTTGTTTCGAAACGATCTTTGCTTGATTTGTTAACTTTTAGTTGATAGCCATCTTCCACACATTTCGTATACAAAGCTATCTTCAAGTCTTCTTTTATATCAAAACAATCATCTTTCTTGATACGAATAATTTTTGTGTAACAATCAACTGCTATCTTTACCAACTCTTCTTCCGGTATCTGAAGTAATTCTGGTATATTCCAGTTATACTCCCATGGCATTTTCTTCGGGGACTTTTCTTTGGGGATTTCTTCTTCAGTGTTATATGAATTACAGAATGGATGTTCAACATGTTCATTTACAGTTGTAACTTCCTCCTCATTATCATCAACAACATCTTCCTCGGCAACGGCTGTTTCATCATCAAAATTCGGGTATTGACCAATATCAAAATCATTACACGCAGAGTCTGTTTCTTCTTCTGAAAAATCATCAAAATCTGAGTATTGACCAAGATCAAAGTCCGGGTATTGACCAAGATCAAATTTTGAATACTGACTAGTACTCACAATTTTTTCTGTTGGCACATCATTGTCTAACTGGTCAATACGAAAACCAAAATTTGGTGCTGAAAGTTGATTGGGATTTAGATTAGGGAAAGGTTGTGGGTTTTGAGATTGTGTTTGGTATTGGAAATGTGGTGAAACAATATTTGCTTGGTGATGAAATTGTGGTGGAACCATTAAATTTTGAGCACCATAAACTGGGGTTGAAAAACTTAGTTGATTACTACCCGCTACTGACCCAACTTCACTACTTCTAGGTTCAACAACATACAATGTAACATCATCACTTGAAACACTAATGTAAGCAATGAATCGTTCAACATCTTCATTGTCGGTTAACAAATAAACTTTACCATTTCTCTGATAAGATAGCCTAAATCCACTTAGGGCTCTAAATTCAATTTATTTGCAACACGTAACATTAGAGTTTCATAAGTTAACTTTTTTAATGACAGTTTTAGTTGAAGATTCATGGGTAAAGGCATATATTGTAAAACACCATGAACATTCTCCCATGACCCTTCAAAACACAAATCTATCCAAACATGATCAACATTAGATGATTTCATTATTGTAAATTAATTTACTAAACAAACGAGCTGCGAAACTAAAACCTGTTGCCGGATGGGGAAGGATGTCGTTGGATATAGGAACGGATGTCGTCGGAGAGAGTGATAGATGGAGATGGAATGAGTTGCGATTTAGGGATTTAGGTTATGAGTTGCTGCTGCTGCGTAGTTATATACCCAAAACATTTGTGTTGCGAAATTAAAACCTGTTGCGAATTCAGAAATCGAGTTGCGAATTTGAAATTCAGTATTGCGATAGTCAGAATCTCGTTGCGATTTACAGATTCGCATTGCGATTTACGTATTCGCATTGCGATTTACGTATTCGCATTGCGATTTACGGATACGCATTGCGATTTACGTATTCTCGTTGCGATTTACAGATACGCGTTGCGATTTACAGATACGCGTTGCGATTTACGTATTCTCATTGCGATTTACGGATACGCGTTGTGATTTTACGTATTGTCTTTGCGATTTACGGATACGCGTTGCGATTTTACGGATACTCGTTGCGATAGTCAGAATCGCGTTGTGATTTATATGTTCACGTTGCAATTTTCATATTCGCGTTGCGATTCTGGAAAATCGCAATGCGAATTTGTACTATCGCATTGCGATTCTTCATAATCGCGTTGCGATTTTGGGAACTGATTTGCGATTCTGGAGATCGCGTTGCGATTTTTATTTCACATTGCGATTTTGTTGGTCATTTTGGCAAATCCAAAAAAAAGTTGGTTAAAATCGTATATTATAAGGCATTTTTGGTCACTGAGGTTATTTTCTCTCTCTCTATATATATATATATATATAAAGCCCAAAATTTTCAAAAATCATAAAAGCTTCCACTAAACTTTAAAAACTCTAAATCTAATCCCCCTTCATCTCCTACCTCCAGTCCCCTTCGCTCTGCAATTCCCCACCCCACACCCACCCACCTAATGGTCACCATCAGACACCCGTGGTTCTTCTTTTCTCCGTTTTCGATGTTCACGGCCACCGTCGACCACCGCAAACCACCTCCACCTCGAAACCATCCCCATCGTAGACTTGAATTTACCCAGAAATGGTGTCGAACCATTTCCTTTTTCACCATCTTCATTGAAAAAAGAAAGAAAGAGAAAACTCTCAAAATACCATAACTAAAAGTTAAAATAGATGTAGGTTTTGGCTGAAATGAAGATCACCTGAGTATTTTCTCAAATTCTTCATGTAAAAACCCCATAAACAAAACAAGGGAGAGAATATTGCACCCAAGGAAGAACAAGCAATAATGAGAGCTATTAACAGTGTCTTAGACGAATCCATTTTCCTTTTCTCTTCACTTCCAAGTTGAATCCCTCTGTTTTTTTTCAGCAGAACAAACAAGAAATCTCAAGAGATAGAACAGGAAAGCAAAGGGTTGACGCTCGTTTTTTGAAATTTGAAAATTTTCCAAAAAAAAGAAACACACAAATATATGATGAACTGAACCAGAAACAAACAAACAAACAGTTATCTCCATCAAGAAGAAAAGGCAATGGGCAGCTTCACGAGTGCAAAGAACAAGTACCAGAAACAAGCAAAAGAAACATAATAGTAGCAGTTCCAACGGAGTGAAGAGGGGGAGAGGCAGGCCAAGAAAGGATGAGGGTGGGTGGATGATGGTGGTTAGCAGCTTGTCGATTCAATGGAGACGTGAGGGAGGGAGGCTGGGTGTTGGGTGGGGAATTGCAGAGGGAAGGGAACTGGAGGAGGGGATGAAGGGGTGTGGTGGGGGATTAGATTTAGAGTTTTTAAAGTTTTTGGGAGGTTTTTAATATTTTTTTTAAATATATATATTTTTAATATTTTGATTGTTCACAGTCTATACAGCCATAAAGAAGTGCTCTTGACAGAGCTTGTAAGGTTAGCATATTTTCTTAAATGAAGACTTGGTTTTTGATTGAAATGTTGGTTTCATAGACTTTGACTCATGGCTTTAGCCTAGAGAATAGGCAATTGACAAAGTTATATTTTGTGCTCCAGTAATGCGAGTGATGATTTAGATAAGCTTAGATTCTTGGGTGTGACTGAGCCCTCTCTGCTCGTAGATTCTGGAGAACTAGAGATTCGCATCAAACCTGATCCAGATAATGGGACTGTCACTATAACGTATGTTTTTCTATGTCCTCTCTTCCTGGAAAAATTGATATGTAGTGGACTTTATTGGAAAAACGAAATTAATTGTTTTTCAGAGATACGGGTATTGGAATGACAAAAGAATAACTCATTGACTGTCTTGGAACAATTGCTCAAAGTGGTACTTCTAAATTTCTTAAGGTAATATCCTTTGAAATTTGTAAATAACTCTCTTTTTTTGTAAAATAAAGGAAAATTAGTATTTTGGTTGCTTACTTAGAAACATATTATTTGTAGGAAAATAAGGATCTAGGGGCAGACAATGGTTTGATTGGTCAATTTGGTGTTGGATTCTATTCTGCTTTTCTTGTTGCGGAGAAGGTATCGGGCTGTCTGCTTAATTGATAATTTGCATTGTCATCTTCAGCTCCCCAAGGGAAACCTTTTCAGTCGATATTTTTTCTTACGAGGTTTCTAACTGGGTTGCTTGTTTATATTTTCCTTGAGCAGGTTGTGTCCACAAAGAGCCCAAAGTCAGAGGAGCAATATGTTTGGGGAGCTGTTGCTGACAGTAGCTCCTATGTGATCAGGGAGGAAACGGATCAGAAAAGCTTCTACCCCGTGGTACACAGATTACACTAATATTTAAAGGTACTCTATCTGTTCATTATTTTTCCTCCTTTACGTCCTATTTGAATTTATTTGCATTTTTATGTTTAGATATTAAGTGAATATATTAAATAGAATTCTGATTTTAATGTAATGGTTACTTTTACAATTTCCTTAGAATTTCCTGGTTCTTGAAATGTACAATTCTTACAAGTGCCGAATGTCTACAATATTGTTCTCTTGCAGTCAGATGACAAGTGAAGACACTAGTTTTTTCATTTGATTCATTTGATTATTATTATTATTATTATTATTATTATTATTTATTATTAATATTAATATTATATATTATTATTATTTAATAAATAATTACAAAACCCAGAGCCCAATAATCAGGCCCATTTTACAAGCCCAAACCAGATAGAAACCCTAAAACATTTAGGGTTTTAGTTAGGGTTTTCTAACCCTAGCCCCGTGCGACGCCGCCTCAAGGGTTTCCAGCCGCCTCTGAAGCCATTCCAGCTGCCACGCGGCGCCGACACTCCAATACCACGTCACCTTGCCGCTGAAGCCTCCAGAAGCTCCACTTCCAGAACGCCAGCCGCACACGTCTTCACTCTAGGATGAGTCACCACCATAGTTTGGTGACTCATCGAGGTTCGCCCCTTTGTGACCGGTCTGAAGCGAACGTCGTGGTGGCCTATAAAGCCACCATCGAATCTGCAAAAGAAACAGGAGGAGAGCCAGGAGGAGGCAACCAACAACCAGCAAAGAAAGAAGAAAAAAAAATCGTGAACAAACGGACAACAAAAAATAGAAAAAAAAAAGAGATACAGAGAAAGAGCTACACCAACGATCCCAGAAAATACAAACCGAAAGAAGAGAAAAAGAGACTTACCGAGGAAATCGCCGCCGTGAGAGCCTCCACGAGTCATCAGAGAACCGAAACGCCAAAGGTGAAAATCGTAGATCTACGATATATTATGGGATTTTAGGTTAAAATAACCTTATATCGGGCATTAGGACGGTTAGATCTACGCTTTGGGGGGTATTTTGTAAATTCTGGCCACCGTTCACGGTGGCCGGCGGCGGTGGCCGGCGGCGGAGTACGGTGGCTTATGGCTGCCGGTTTCCCTCCGGCGAGGGAAACTAGAGAGAAACTAGAGAGAACTCTGGTTCTCTCATTTTTGAGAGAGAAAGGAAAGATGCAAATGGGGAAGCTTGGCCCTTCGGGCCAGGCGTTTAGGGTATTTAAAACCCTCCCCAAACGACGTCGTTTTGGAGAGGGTATCTGTGTAATTTAGGAAAGGGTAAACCCTTTCCGCAACCCTTATAGGTCTGTAACTTTGCAATTTAGTCACTAAAATTAACTTTTAATCATTTTAATTTAATGTTTAAATTTTATTTTATTATATTTTAGCCATTTACCGTATTAATAATATATTTAGGATAAATATCATATTTAGTCCTTTAATTTTAATAATTATTTTTTTAATCCCGAGTATATATTTTTAATTTATTTTAATTTGATATATGAATTTTATATAATTTTATTTTAGTCACCAAATTAATAAATAAGGAAAATAACATGTTTAATCCCTGAAATTTTAATTAATTATGAATTAGGTATTTAATTCTATTAGGTTATAATTTAGTCTCTAATTTCAATTTTTATATTTATTTTTTACAAGTTTATTTATATAGTTTTAATTTTATTCATTGTTTAGTTATATGTTAATTTTATATGTTTATTTTTAATTATTATTACTATTATTAATAATTAGCCATAAATATATATATTTATACAATAAATAATATTTATTTTATTTATTATTTAATTACTTTTAACTTATTTTAATCTTGTTTTAATATTTATTTATTTTTCAATATTAAGAAAGGTCAGCCTTAAAACAACTGGATGTCCATTTTCTGATATTTTTAAATAAATAAATATCATACTTTATAAATTATATATTAATTGTTTTAATTATTTATTTATTTTTTAATATCGAAGAAAAGAGCTGTCTTAAGACACCTAGAAGCCCTTTTCTGATATTTCTAAATAAGTAAATATCTTATTTATATATATTAATATATTTTTTTTAAATTATTTGAAATAACAGAATTATGAATTAAATATATTTTTGAATTTTTAAATTTCTAATAATAGAGACAATTTATAATTAATAAAGTACCAATTTTGGGTGTTGCAGGGGTGCTAATCCTTCCCTAAACCTAACCGACCACGAATCCCTTTTTATTATTAAAAAGAACGAATTTTTGGTTAAAACGCATATCAGTTTATCTTTTAATTGATGTTTTCTTAAAAACTCTTTTAAAAGATATTTTTTTAGGTATTCGACCTACCTGACCCAAAAGGCCGATGGCGACTCCCAAATTATTTTCAAAACCATTTATTCACATCACTTTTCCCGTCAAGTAAATATTTCGTGCCCAGACGAAAACCGATTACGACAGCTTGGCGACTCCGCTGGGGACTGGTCAAACTTTAAAACCAATTATTAATTGCCTCTATCAATTAGAAAATTAAAAATTCATATATTTAATTTTTAATTCTTTTTTTTCAAAATTTTTATATATATACTTATTATTTTCATAATATTTATATGTTATTTAATGCTTTATTTTCAAATATTAAATATTATTATTTATTTGTTAGAGGTTTGAACATTTCTCCTCACACACAACACTTGCATTGCATAACATAAAGCTCTATAATTGAGTTTGTCCCTTTTAAGTGGGAGTGAAAGCGACGTCTTCGTGAGAATTTATTCTCCGTGTCAGACCTAGCAAGTAACTTTCGGGGTTCATATGCTCTATGTCTTCATGAGAATTTATTCTCCGTGTCAGTCATAGAGAAATGTGTCCCCTCGAATTGAACTCGATCCGCTTAAGTCTGTAATGGACTAGGATTGAGGGTTTGACAGCCCAAGGGGGCATCAACAAGGACAGTTCGAGTACCTTTACTCCTAGAACTGAAAACCTGCATATAATAAACCCTAGAAACTCTCTCGATCTGAAACCATGCCGAAATTTTGTCAGTAGGTATACACAAAGGAGAAATAAACTATAGCTTTTAATTTATTTCTTTTTCCTGAATAAATGCATGCGAACTAGAAATCATGCGGTTAGGTTAAATTTTCCAAACAAAGCATGGAACTAGAAAGCATGAGGTTAAGATTTATACCTTGATAGATATATTTTTTTCCATTAGTTGGTACTAATTATTCTATTTTTGTTTTTTTATTTTTCCATGCATGTTACATTGCTCTAATTTGTTTATTTTCTTTTGTTTACATTGCATGGTCATGGCATAATCAAAAGGTGTTTACTGGAAAGACTGTTCATCATATTGGAAAGAAATCGTAAATGGACAAAAAGTTTTATGATCAAACAAAATATGATGCGACCAAGGAAAGACATCCTGAAGAAACTACGAGGATCGAGGGAAGTTCTGCACACAGAGAACCGGTTATATTAATACCAAAAGTACTCCACAAAGATTCTGCCAGATTGATACCAAAAGCAGTCTATGGTAAGAGCACCAGTCAGGGCATTCAGAGTGGAGGAGGTTTTTATGAAGCTCAAACATGTTATTTGAAGGACTTGAACGACCAAAACAAGAAATTGAGCACAGAAATGAAAACCATGCATGAAGATTTTCAGAAGATCAGTCAAGCCTTTCAAAATGCTGGCCTAGGAAGTACCCCAGAAGAGTGGATAACAGGGGTCACCAAGCTGAAAAAGAACTGCAACTTATATGAAAATCTTGTTCAAGAACTTCTTGGACAAAAATGTTCTCTTACAAGGGAAAATGAGCAACTCCGAGAAGTGACACAGAAGATGAAGAAAAAAAATGTCACAGAAGAAGCTACAATCCAGACAAACAATATGACCCATAAGCGGATAAACCAACCTAACTTTACAAAGAATTGAAACAGACTGATAATTCAACTGTTGAGCATGAATGGAAACTAACTTGGCTTTAGAGAAGTTAGGAGGGAAAGTTATCCCCTATATGTAAAGTTTTGTTGAAGTTAGGACTGAAAGATGTCCCCTATATGTAAAGTTTTGTTTGATGCACGGAAACTTTTATGTTCAATGAAATCTGTTCTAAGATGATCACTCTTGAGTAACACCTTTTCATACTTGCATTTGTATTTTGCATTTGTACATTTTTACATTTGTATTTACATTTACATTTTTAAACTTACATCATGCATTAAAACATATTTAATTAAATAATAATGTTTATTTATTTTCAATATCAAAGAAAAGGGCAGTCTTAATATAATTGGATGTCCTATTCTGATATTTTAAATAATTTACATGTTTACATTTGCATATTTACATTTGGCATCTTTGCATTTGTATTTTTATGTTTGCTTTTGTATTGCACAATTTGTATTCTTATTATTACATTCACATATTTACATTTGCATTTGGCATCTTTGCATTTTTTATGTCATAATACATTAAAACATTTATTCATTAAAATAAGGATTTCAAACGAAGTGATCTTGGTTTTTCCTTGAAGCAAGAACGCTCAGCACGACACAAGAAAAATGTCTAAAGAAACTGAAGATAGGCTATCCAAATTAGAGATAGAGCAAAAAGAGACACATGAAGAATTGAGGAGCAAGTTGGCACAAATTGAAGCTAATATCACAAATTCTCATATCGATCTACTAAACAATATGAAAGAAATGATTGAGAAGTATCAGACCGCTGGAAAGAGTCTTGTTGAAAACCACATAAATTCTTTGGATGTTACACCTGTTCATATTCCTGAGTTCACCTCTATACCACAAGAAATTCAATCACCGATTTACTTCGCTGTTAAGAACTCACCATATCAAGCTGGAGCATCGTTCCCCACTGATTGTCCTACTACTTCTGAGTTGAAGCCTGATGAATTTTGTATTAGTAATGAGGTCCTTGACCAAAACAAATCAGTTGAGAATGAAAAATTCACTCAACTACTGGAAAATATAGAAGAGGTGATAAAATCTATAGAGACAGTTGAGTCATTTTATGGGTTTGATGCCAAAGAACTAAGTTTGGTCCCTGGCCTGGTTATTCCACCAAAGTTCAAGGTTCCAGATTTTGAGAAGTATAATGGGACCACATGCCCTTCATATCATATCACTATGTATTGTCGCCGTATGACTGGCTATGTAGAGAATGAAAAATTGTTGATCCACTGTTTCCAAGACAGTTTATCTGGGTCTGCATCCA